GTAGGTGGTTTGTAAGTGGTGGGTAGGTGGTTTGTAAGTGGTGAGTAGGTGGTTTGTAAGTGATGGGTAGTCGGCTCTATGTGTAACTTGCTATTAAATTTCCACTGTTATTAACCCTCAATAATAAAATACGAATAACACTGGTTTTTTTTCTTGTTTTCCAGATGTTCATGATGAATCTATCAGCACCATTTTTGTGCCAGTTTTTCAAAGAACAAATGATGAAAGCCATGCCTTACATTGATATTCTGTTTGGAAATGAAACTGTAAGCAAAAGTAATTAATTATTAGTTATCAGTACAGCTGTCAGGCAATAAAAAAACATCGATTAAGGGAGCCAAGCTCAAGCTATAATTGAAATTTTGGCATGTGCATTGCATACCAGGTCACCACTTGTCTGGCTACTATGTACTAGTGTTTCCCAGAGTTTCTGGCATTTTGTTGAGCATTTGCAATAAGGACAGGGCTCTGGGGTCGAGAGTGCATGCAGCTACAATAATTGTTTATCACATCTTGGTAAAAATATCATTTTTTAACTTGACAAATTTTTATTTATTTACTTTTTATGTAGGAAATGAGGGTCTTTTCTAAAGAGCATGACTTTGGAGTAAGTAAATACTGATTCCATACATGTTATTTACTGGCCAGGATGCCGAGATGGGGAACAACAGACTGTTGCCAAGGTCTTGAATAGAAACCTTTAGCATGATGTTCTTGCTAGGTACTACAAACCTTAAACTGCAGTTCAACGTCAGGCATTTTCCATCAAACTTTCCACATTTTTTTTTTTCAAAAACATCTATTTCACCCCGGCCTGCTCTCAGTCTGACCTCTAGCTCAGCTGGTAGAGCATCGGTAGTACAATTCCGAAAGTCATGGGTTCAATTCCCAGCGAGGTCGGAAATTAATTTTTCCGTATTTATTTCCAAGGGTCTTTCACCCAAAATAACCCCGTTCCCAAGCGCTATAACTTATCTATATTTCTAAATCTTGTATTTCATAAGTGCTACGCGGTCCACATATTTTCATCTTCACATTTAGCAAGGCAAAGTTGTTGCTGGAAGAGCTGCCATATTGAATTTAAGAGAAGCTGAGTGTTTCTCCATGTTTCTTGGTCTTATTCCTAATAGTTAGCACTGAGTTAACAGTGAACCTGATGCTAAAGGTCTTAATTGTATGGACTAAAGTCAAGGTCTGTTTTCAAGACCAAGGGCAAAGTTTTTCCTGACCGACTTTGGGCCAGTAAATAACTTTAGTACTGTTTAATAAAAGAGCAGGAGTGTTTTATCAGGTATAAAACACATGGCGTAGCCGAGTGGTTTTATACCCGATAAAACACGATCTGCGAGTTTATTAAACAGCTTAAAAACCTTTATTTTGTGAGTTCTCATATTGTACCAATTTTTTTATGAAATGAACTAAGTTTGAAAGAGAAAATCCAAGTTAAAGTTTATGCATATGAAGACGATTCTATATCTGATATAAGACCTCCTTCACGGTCATGATTTCTATTGTGTTTCCTTCATGAATTATTAATGAGTTTTTAAGTACTAAATAGTGCTAAATTATGCTAATTTTATTGTATAATTAGTGCTAAATAAATTATAATTTAAATTTAATTATTTTACATTTACAGACAGAAGATTTAAAAGAAATAGGCAAGAAAATTGCAGCTTTGCCGAAAGTGAATGACAAAAGACAACGTATAGTAGTAATCACTCATGGAAAAGAACCAACCATAGTTGTCCAGAGTAAGTACACTTATACACCACTATAAAAAAAAATCTACAAAGGTTTCGCTGTTATATCACAGCGTGGGACAATCACAACAGAGCTAGGCTCCAAACTAGGTGAAAGCCCAAAGATAGAATTAGAATTGAGAAGTTGATTTTTGTGGAGGGAGGAAAACCGGAGAACCCAGAGAAAAACCCTTGAAGCATAAAAGAGAACCAACAAACAACTCTACTGACATATGACACCGAACCTGGCAGGACTCGAACCTGGGCCGCATTTGACCAATCAGACCACATTGGCCGAATTTATACTGGAATATTCTTGACCAATCAGACCTTGCATAGGTAACTACATCATAAATAATAACCATGCCTATAATTTAATCACTGGAATGTAATATTTAGTATGGCATAGCCCTTGACCAATCAGACCTTGCATACGTGACTACATCATAAATATAACCATGCCTATAATTTAATCACTTGAATGTAATATTTAGTATGGCACAGCCCTTGACCAATCAGAGCTCAGATA